GCATCTGCCTCTTCCCACACCCCTCGGTTGGTCTGTTTGCTGTCACTGCAGCAGAGCTGGCTCCTGTGTGCCCTGCAAGCCCATTTTTTTTTTTTTTTTAACCCAGAGGGAGGTTTATGAAGCCTCAGAGATAAAGCTTTTTAGCAGCCTGGCCACAAATGTGCCCCTGGTTAAGCCAGGGCACGAATCCCACTCCTTTATGAGCACCCTGGAACAGCCATCCCATGCTCCAGCCACAGTGGAGCCCCCATGCTCCTGATTTCTGCCCAAACCACGAAGCTGTTGGCTCAGAGTGGTTGCTGGGCAGGGCAGAGTCTGACCCAAACCCCAAACTGGCACCAGTGCTCCCACTGGGAAGGGGAATGGAGAGGATGCTGTTCTCCCCAGCAGTGGGAGGGTCAGCCCTGCAGCAAGGACTGACCACAGCAAGGACTGACCTGTCCTGTCTTCCCTTCCAGCCACACAGTCCCTGGCACCCACCAGGCCACCAGCACCCCCGGAGGGACTCCGGCCAGTGGAGCAGTAGGTCCTGCTCTGGGAAGCACTCCCTCGGCTGAACCAGCCACCTGAAGAAGCCAATGACCTGTAATGAACTCGTTCATGAGCCACACGAGCAGCTCTCGTTCCTGACAGCCCCAGCTGCTGCTTTTGGGGTGGTCTGAGCGGGGCTGAAGTGCCCAGTATAACCAGTTCACTGTGCCCGCGCGGGCTGGCCGGGAGGACACGTGTGCCAACACCACCAGGACCAGCTCAGAAGGGATCAGTTCTGGTCAAGGGACAGTAGTGGACTTTGACTTTGCTGGCCTTCATCTTTTGGGTGCTGGGCTTGGGGAGGGGGCTGAAATCGCGGTCCAAATCAGGTATTTATGCATCAATATTTATGGGAAGCTGCACCACRGTGTTGTCAGGACTGACGGCTGGCCCTGCCGGAGACTGAGCCACCTGTGGATGTGCCACCTCACTTGAATTATTTTTTTAAATTTGAATTTACCGTGGTTTTTTTACTGTAAATGACCATTTGCCAGGGGAAAACATGCTGGGYTCCAGCACTTGCCTGCAGAGCTGGTGCTTCCTCATCCACAGCACAGGCTGGGCTGGACAAGCTTGGCAGGTCCTGGAGCCTGTTCTTCATGCCAGGAGTTTGTCAGCCTGTGGACCAGGAGTTTGGAGCCCTTGGAGCTGCCTACATCACTCACTCCAAGAAAAAGGAATCCTAAATCAAGCGAGGCAATCAGAGATCCTCCATGGATGGAGACAGCTCTGCACAATGCAAATCCCGACTGGAATATCCTCGTCCCAGCCCTGACCCCGGAGTTATTTTGCCATTCCTCTCACAGGCAGGAGCTGGGAAGGGGATGAAGGCAGGAGGAACAGGCAGCTCCTGGCTTGGTGATAAGTGTGGAGTCATGGAAAAGGCTCGGCTGCCACCTGCAGYATGGGGAGATGTCACCAATCCAATGCCATCAGCCCAGCCACGGCCCAGGGCCCCCTTTGTATTTGCACAAAGCTCTTGGGCAGGTAAAGTCCAAGAGCTGACACTGTCAGAGGAACCCTGGCTCTGTGGAGGGCTTCCCCTCCTGTCCTGTCCCCTCCTGTCCCATCCCATCCCAGCACAGCCCTGCCCAAGGTGCTTGGCCTTTAAATTATTCCCACAGGGGCCAACTGAAAATAATAAAAGAATTGTTTCTTTTCCTGATGGAATTTATTTTAATCTGTATATAATTTGTAATTTTGGGCTAATTCCTTTCTTATTTTATTTCTTCCTTAACAGTATGTTGTTTTTGGCATTAGATACCATTCTTGTGA